AGAACCCTATGAACAGTATGAAAAGGCAAAAAGATAGGACACTGAAAGATAAATTCCCCAGGTCGGTAGGTGCCCAATATGCTACTGGAGATCAGTGGAGAAATAACCTCAGAAAGAATGAAAAGACAGAGCCAAAGCAAAAACAACACCCAGTTGTGGATGTGACTGATGATGGAAGTCAAGTCCGATGCTCTAAAGAGCAATACTGCATAGGAACCTGAAATGTTAGGTCCATGAATCAAGGCAAATTGGAAATGGTCAAACGGGAGATGGCAAGAGTGAACATAGACATTTTAGGAATCTGCAAATGAAAATGGACTGGAATGGGTGAATTTAACTCATATGACAACTATATCTACTACTGTGGGCAAGAATCCCTTAGAAGAAATGGAGTAGTCAACAAAAGAGTCTGAAAAGCAGTCTCAAAAACGACAAAATGATCTCTGTTCATTTCTAAGGCAAACCATACATATCATAGTAATCCAAGTCTATGCCCCAACCAGTAATGCTGAAGAAGCTGAAGTTGAACAGTTCTGTGAAGACCTACAAGACCTTCTAGAACTAACACCCAAAACACATGTCCTTTTCATCTTAGAGGACTAGAATGCAAAAATAGGAAGTCAAGAAATAACTGGAGTAATGGGCAAATTTGGCCTTGGAGTACAGAATGAAGCAAGGCCAAAGCTAACAGAGTTATGCCAAGAGAACGTACTGTCATAGCACACACCCTCTTCCAACAACACAAGAGGAGACTCTACAAATGGACATCACCAGATGATCAATACTGAAATCAGACAGATTATATTCTTTGCAGCCAAAGATGGAGAAGCTCTACACAGTCAGAAAAAAACAAGACTGGGAGCTGACCGTAGCTCAGATCATGAACTCCTTATTGCCAAATTCAGACTTAAATTGAAGAAAGCAGGGAAAACCACTAGACCATTCAGATATGACTTAAATCAAATCCTTTATGATTATATAGTGGAAGTGACAGATAGATTCAAGGGATTGGATCTGTTAGACAGAGTGCCTGAAGAACTATGGATAGAGGTTTGTGACACTGTACAAGAGACAGGGATCAAGACCATCCCCATGGAAAAGAAGTGCAAAAAGGCACAATGGTTGTCTGAGAAGGCCTTACAAATAGCTGTGAAAAGAAGAGAAGTGAAAAGCAAAGGAGAAAAGGAAAGATATACCATTTGAATGCAGAGCTCCAGAGAATAGCAAAGAGAGATAAAAAAGCCTCCCTCAGTGATCAATGCAAAGAAATAGAGGAAAACAATAGAATGGAAAAGACTAGAGATCTCTTCAAGAAAATTAGAAACACGAAGGGAACATTTCATGCAAAGATGGGTACAATAAAGGACAGAAATTGTATGAACCTAACAGAAGCAGAAGATATTAAGAAGAGGTGGCAGGAATACACAGAAGAACTATACAAAAAAGATCTTCACAACACAGATAATCACAATGATGTGATCACTCACCTAGAGCCAGACATCCTGGAATGTTGGAAAACTCAGGAGTGGCCACAGGACTGGAAAAGTTCAGTTTTCATTCCAATCCCAAAGAAAGGCAATGCCAAAGAATGCTCAAACTACCACACAATTGTACTTATCTCACACGCTAGTGACGTAATGCTCAAAATTCTCCAAGCCAGGATTCAATAGTACATGAACCATGAACTTCCAGATGTTCAAGCTGGATTTAGAAAAGGAGAGGAACAAGAGATCAAATTGCTAACATCCACTGGATCATCGAAAAAGCAAGAGGGTTCCAGAAAAACATCTACTTCTACTTTATTGACTATGCCAAAGCCTTTGACTATGGGATCACAACAAACTGTGGAAAATTCTTAAAGAGATGGGAATACCAGACCACCTGACTTGCCTCCTGAGAAATCTGTATGCAGGTCAAAAAGCAACAGAACTGGACATGGAACGACAGACTGGTTCCAAGTTCATCAAGGCTGTATATTGTCATCCTGCTTAGTTAACTGATATGAAGAATACATCATGAGAAACGATGGGCTGGATGAAGCACAAACTGCTGGAAGCACAAGAAATATCAATAACCTCAGATATGCAGATAACACCACACTTAGGGCAGAAAGAAGAACTAAAGACCCTCTTGATGAAAGTGAAAGAGGAGAGTGAAAAAGTTGGCTTAAAACTCAACATTCAGAAAACTAAGATCATGGCATCTTGTCCCATTCACTTCATGGCAAATAGATGGGGAAACAATGGGAACAGTGGCTGACTTTATTTTTTTGGGCTCCAAAATCACTGCAGATGGTGACTGCAGCCATGAAAAGACACTTGCTCCTTGGAAGAAAAGTTATGACCACCCTAGACGGCATATTAAAAAGCAGAGACATTGCTTTGCCAACAAAGGTCCATATAGTCAAAGCTCTGGTTTTTCCAGTGGTCATGTATGGATGTGAGAGTTGGACTATAAAGAAAGCTGAGCGCTGAAGAATTGATGCTTTTGAACTGTGGTGTTGGAGAAGACTCTTGAGAATCCCCTGGACAGCAAGGAACTCCACCAGACTTTCACAGGGAAGATCAAGGGAGAGTTCAGATAAAGTCCCCATCATGGGTCTAGCTGGGGCAGAGGAACAGCAACCTCTGGAAAATCTGCCCAGACTCTTCTTCTGGCCTTCATCTGCAAGCAGCACCACCTGAAGGCATTAGGCTGAGGCTGCTGCCACTGGGGGAGGGGAACTCTGACCAGAGTAACCTCCTTATCTCATTTAAGTGTAGAAGGAACCTCACAGAGCGAAGTGCTCTAAGATCACAGACAGAGACAGTGGAGACTGAAAGAAGGGAGCACAGGGGCAGGGAAAATCTCTGACCCTAGAATAAGAGCCAAAATTCTTCTGAATGACCAATACTGTGCACTCCAAAGAGTGAGATTCATCAGAACATTAGTAAATACTCCACTCATCCTCAGCACATCAGTGTGCTAGCAAACCTCATAATGACAGTGGAGTACAACTGGAGGACTGCCAAGAGACAGGTTTCCTCAGGAAACCACACAAAGGGAAGACCTAGAGCCAAAAGAGGGGACAAAAAAAATAGTCACTAGAGAAAACTGAAGTCTCTGGTGCTCATAGCAACAACAAACTTCAAACGTAGACTGACTCCTAGCTAGATTAACACAAATCTCCACACTAAAGGCCAATTTACCTCAGTTTCCATTGCCCTGTACATGTCTGGCTTTCAACAACAACAAAAAATAAAGACATTAAAAAAATAAGAAATTAACACAGTCTGAAAAGATAAAGCCATCATCAGAACAAAACCCACATATCACAAAGATGTTGGAACTATCAGAGAGGGAATTTTAAATAACTTATGATAAGCTCTAAGGGTAGGACTAGTATACTTATAAGAAGAGACACCAGAGAACTTACACACTGTCACTCTCCCCTTCCGTGTACATGCGCCAAGGAAAGGACATGGGACGATACACTGAGAAGGTGGTCTTCTGCTGCCAGGAAGAGAGCTCTCATCAGAAACCAACCATGCTAGCACCCTGACCTTGAACATCCAGCCTCCTAGACTGTGAGAAAATTAAGTTTTCTCATGTAAGCCACCTGCTCTGTGGTGTTTTGTCATGGCAGTCCGACCATCCCTAGGTTTACTGAATGCCTTCTTCACTATCGTGATTTCCACACAGCATTGCTTCTGATCACGGAACTCACTTGACAGCAAAAGCAGTGGAGCAATGGACCCATACATATGGAATTTACTGGTCTTACCACCATCCTGAAGCAGCTTGCTCGCCAGAATGGTGTTATGACCTTTGGAAGACCGAGTTGCAACACCAGTTAGGTGGCAGTACCTTGCAGGTCTAGGGTAAGGATCTCCAGAAGGCTGTCTATACTCTGAATCAGCATCCAATATATGGTACTGTTTCTCCAGGAAGCTAGGGGTGGAAATGGGAGTGGCACCATTCACTAGGAAAATTTCTGGTTTCCTTTTCTTACAAATAAATGTTCTGTTGGCCTAGAGATCTTGGTTCCAAATGGGGGAATGCTTCCATAAGGAGATACACAATGATTCCACTGAACTGAAAACAATGCCACCTAGGCCTTGTGGGTTCCTCAAGCCTCTGAATCAAAAGGTAAATAAGGAAGTGCTGGCTGGGGTGACTGACCCTGGTCACTAAGGGGGAATTGGTACTACTCCTCAATGGAGGTGAAGAAGAATATGACTGGAATACAGGAGAACCCTTAGGGTATCTCTTAGTATTATCATGCCCTGTGATAAGGTGAAAGGAAAACTACCACCCAATCCATGCCGGACTACTAACAGGCCAAACCCTTCCAGAATGAAGGTTCAGGTCACCCCATAACTAGCAGAGATGCTCACTGAAGACAAAGGGGTATGGCTAGTGGAAGAAGGTAACTATAAATACCAACTACATCCACTTGACTGGTTACAGAAATGAAGATTGGAATTGTCATAAGCATTCCCTTCTTATTTTGCTGTGAGTATGTTTGTGTGTATACGTATCTTGTTCTATTTCCACTCTTATTCTCTAATCATGTAACAAAAGATGTACTGACTTTGTGTCATGGTATTTCAGTACTGTTAATTTTATATTATAGCATTTAAGTTAGGGGATAGAAAGAAGAAGGATAAACATCACTCAAGGACTTTACTTCCTCTTCTGGGAAAGTAAAGTCATTTTCAGTTGCATGCAGGATAGAACTTTTTGGCCAACTCAATACTTTGAAGGAAATATACTCAGAATCCATAAAGGGGATCTCACCTAACCCTGGTTAGAGAGGAGGGTGGGGCAAGGCAGGAAAGGCTAACTAGGTTAAGATCTGAGGAATGAGCAGGTTGTTATTAAGTAAGGTAGAAAAGAGGGTGGAGGTGAGAAAAGAGTGTTCTAGACAGAAATTCTGGGGAGGGAAGGTGCAGAGGACTATAGGATCACACACAGCAGGCTTCACAGGATAGGTGGCTGACCAAACAGAAACTACTAACCATTTTCTTCAGTCTCTTCTCTTCTCTTTTTTTCTCAAGCTGAGCCTCCTTTTCTTCTGCCTCCTTCTTCTGACGCTCCTCCTCTTGGGCCTTTAACTGGGCCTGATCAAGATTAGAATTTGTAAAAATCAGACCCTCAGTTTGCACAGAAATAAGATTGTTTATGTTGAGGAAAGTCCACTATTTACCAAAGTGCTCACCCAGTCTCTGGAAGAAGCCTGCACTATGTCTCAAAAGTAGAAAACCCAAGTAACAAGTGGTCAGTTGTATAATTTAACTGTTTCTCCAAAGGGATTCTCTTCTACTTGGGAAGATGAGGCTGAACATGAATGAGACCATTAACTTTTCATCATAAAATGATTACTCTTTAGTTCTTATTTCATTTATGAAATACTAAGTCCAAACTATACACAGTATAAGAAAAAATTTTCTTCCATTTCACCAAAACAAACAAAACTATTAGAACTATTTATTTTTTCTTGCATGCTGAGTCGCTTTAGTCGTGTCCGAATCTTTGTGACCCTATGGACTGTAGCCTGCCAGGCTCCTCTGTCCATGGAATTCTCCAGGCAATAATATTGAAGTGGATTGCCATTCCCTTCTCCAGGGAATCTTCCCGACCTAGGGATTGAACCTGGGTCACCTGCATCGCAGGCGGGTTCTTTACTGCTGAGCCACCAGGGAAGCCCCTACAAAATTTCCTTTTGGCAGTCCAGATCAAGACTTTGGAAGGTTAAGAATTTCCCACCTTTAAACTATAAGCAAGGTGAAAAGACAGCCTTCAGAATGGGAGAAAATAATAGCAAACAAAGCAACTGACAAAGAATTAATCTAAAAATATACAAGCAGCTCCTGCAGCTCAATTCTAGAAAAATAAACAACCCAGTCAAAAAATGGGCCAAAGAACTAAACAAACATTTCTCCAAAGAAGACATACAGATGGCTAACAAACACATGAAAAGATGCTCAACATCACTCATTATCAGAGAAATGCAAATCAAAACCACAATGAGGTACCATCTCAGGCCGGTCAGAATGGCTGCTATCAAAAAGTCTACAAACAATAAATGCTGGAGAGGGGGCAGAGAAAAAGGAACCCTCTTATACTGTTGGTGGGAATGCAAACTAGTACAGCCACTATGGAGAACAATGTGGAGATTCCTTAAAAAACTGGAAATAGAACTTCCATACAACCTAGCAATTGCACTGCTGGGCATACACATTGAGGAAATCAGAACTGAGAGACACGTGTACCCCAATGTTCACCACAGCACTGTGTACAATAGCCAGGGCATGGAAGCAACCTAGATGCCCATCAGCAGACGAATGGATAAGAAAGCTATGGTACATATAGACAGTGGAATATTACTCAGCCATTAAAAAGAATGCATTTGAATCTGTTCTAATGAGGTGGATGAAACTGCAGCGTATTATACAGAGTAAAGTAAGTCAGAAAGAAAGACACCAATACAGTATACTAACACATAAATATGGAATTTAGAAAGATGCTAATGATGACTCTATATCCGAGACAGCAAAAGAGACACAGATGTAAAGAAAAGTCTTTTGGACTCTGTGGGAGAAGGCAAGGGTGGGATGATTTGAGAGGGTAGCACTGAAACATGTTATTATCATATGTGAAGTGAATCGCCGGTCCAGGTTCAATGCATGAGACAGAGTGCTCAGGGCTGGTGCACTGGGATGACCCTGGGGGATGGGATGGGGAGGGAGGTGGGAGGAGTGATCTGGATGGGGAACACATGTATGCCCATGGCTGATTCATGTTGATGTATGGCGAAAACCACTACAATACTGTAATTAGCCTCCAATTAAAAAAAAAAAAAGAATTACCCACCTTTGTAAACTTATCAGGTTGAACATTCACCCGTTACACATCAGTCTTGGTTATGTGTAAATCTCCTAATTTGCTAGCTCTATCAACTTTCAAAACATTTAATTGTTGCTATACTAATGATGCTGATGCTCCTTCTCTTCATTTTCCTGAAACTATCACAGAGTTCAGGCCAGGAGGCAAAAAGCCATATCCAAAGTTGGTGTTATGCTACTGTCTTAGTAGCCTTAAACAACCTAGGTTTCAGTTTTTAATGAATGCCTATACAGATCCTTTTTCTTGCCTCAGTTTGCATTCTTGATTTATTACCAATTTCTCCTCTTCTTGTTTTTTCTTCTTCTCTGCCAAGATCCGCCTACGTTCAGCTCGCTGAACTGCTCTCTCTTCCATGGCTAGAAAACAGTAAGAGTTCCAATATAAAAAATATAAGGAACACTGGAAAAGAAATATCTCCATTTTATGGTAAAATTTAGTGTTAAAGTTTTCTTTTCTATATTTCACAATGCCAAATATATATATATACACACACACACATATATATGTGTATATATATGTGTATATATATGTGCATAAAATTTATATAAAAATACAATTACAGAAATTGTAATTATACAGCGTGTATAGGTATATACACACATACACACACATCCTACAGGTTAAGGACCGACAATCCCATCCTTGGCCATGATAAACAATTTTCAGATTATGTTTTTGTTCACATTTCTATTAGAATAATTGTTCACTAGTTGAAATAAGATAATGTGTCTTGAAGAAACTTTTAGTACATGAAATCCAGAAACCAGAATTTTAATTTGGCAATTCCTTTAATGAATGTCAAAATCTTTAATTACATCTAACAAATATTTTGAGAACAGAATCACTCCTCAAATACCACTGAATTTGCTACTTTCTCCTAGGTTACTATGTATGTCTGTATATGTGACAACAACAACAAACAAACTGAGGTTTGGGGTCATGATGACCACATTTTAAACTAGTTTTAGGGCCGGGATATCCAGATGGGCAGGAAATGGAATTGTACTAGGCATCTGAAGAACTGGCATCTGAATGAATTTAAGTGTCAGACTCCTGTTCTTGACAGTATATTAAATATCGCTCCAAAAGAAGCAAATGTGCAAGATGGCCTGATAATATGACTCTGTCACCAGCTGAGGTGTCATGCAGAGGGGCATGGGTGGGAGGAGTATCAAGTTCTGCTCACCTAACTTAGCCAATGGTTACTTTAGGTTCCTTGTGCTGTGTTACAGAGAAGAAAATTGAAGTCCAAGTTTCAAGAATTAAACAAAAAACCCAGCAGGCTATTTCTTATAAAGTGTTGGCTTTGCTGGAAAAAGAATAGTGTGGCACACAGATGGCAGGAATAAGACAGTCTTTAAGGAGGCAGAAATAAGATTAGAGGATTAAAGTGAGAGCCCCAGTAGGCAGAACTTGTGGTAATATGCCCTTTTTTCATCTTTTCTAGAGCTAGTCATTAAAGATTACCTGAAAATAGCCAGGTGTTCCAAAACATGCTAACTCTTTGATCAAATAATAATTTCTTAAAAATAATCACACAAAACTGGGCACTTCCTGATCACCCTTAATGATGGACAAAGAGATCATAAACTGCTAACTTGGCAGAGAGTCAATGCACAGATGGCTGATTTTTTTCATTAACAGGAAGGGACTTCAGGTACAGTGTACTTCTGGTGACATCACTTCCTGTTAGGGCAGCAATCCTACCACAGGTAAAAAGTCAGATTTACAACCCACAATAAAATTTTCAAAGTGCCTACCACTTCACCCAAACAAATGTTCAGTGCATGACTAAGGACAGAGTAAAAACAACTAGCAGTTTCACTAGGTGAGTTCTAAGGAATGCTTCTCTTTTCATAGTATGGTTTGGTTTAAATAATGATTCCTATGCACATCAAAAATGTTATTAAAAGGTCTGGTTTATAGATTTCATTCTAGAAGCCTGTCATCAAGGCATAGTTCATTATAAAATGATGTAATAACTTGATGTAGATTACTGTAAACTGATCTGTATTTTAATGTTGAAAACTACAATGACAGGTGACCTTGAGTGTTTATTCTTAGAAGCTACTCAGAATTTTTTTTGTGAACTGTTCCATTTTAAAAACACAATCCAAATCTCAAGTTACAAAAAAATGATTAAACCTTTCAGCAATGTTTTGTTTTTGTACTGGCCAGGAGGATCAGAAAGTTTGGCAGGAGGGGTAGGGAAAAAGTCATGGTGTTCTCTGGTGTATCTACTTGTCACGTATCTACCCATCTTAGACTTTGACCAGGTTCTAAGTCTCAAAACCCAACAGTTGCCAGGATTCAGTCCCAACATATCCTACTCCAGGAGGAAAGATAACCATAACCCAGGTCCCACCAAGATAGCCCTGCCTTTCAGTATGGGATGGGGCGCCATCAACTGCCTTGGATTCCTTCTGGGTCCAGAAAGAGAATTTCGGGAGTCACTACCTTCAGTCCCAAGGGAAGCAACAGGTGAACTGGGGGGAAAAAAAAGGGAAAAGAATTCAGACCAATCACTAATTTCAGAACTCAAAGTCTTTTACAAACTTTAATTAATCCTTACTCTCTGAAATAACTATGTATTATTATACCCATTCAATAAATTGGTATAATGAGGCATGGAAAGGTTGAGTGATTGGCCTGAGTCTATGATGTGAGTCAGGTGCTCTGACTCCCAACCCAGTGCTTCAGATCAATACATACTGCCCACTTCTTACCCTACCATTTATCACATATACTGAGTATGTCACAAGCATGTCTAAACCCATTTTAAAGAGCTTTTGAGAAATTTGGACTATTATTCTAGGTTCAAAGATGTTTATCTCTAACAACTACAGACTTAAGCTAGGTAAATAGCCATCCCTAAGGGCTGCTCCATTTAGACCTGATATTGTCTGACCTGGCTTCTCAGCCCTAAACATAATCAGGAATCCCGAAATCGAGTTAGAGCAAGTAAGCATTTTCCTCTTTTACTGGTAGAGTGACAGAGCTCCTCAGACAAAGGCAGCTACAATACAGTATACAACTGTATACAATACTGTATACAACTGGATCCTTTTAGGCAGCCACTTGCCTTAAATACCTTTTGGTACCTCTCACATACCAATCACAATGTATGGGGCCTCTCTGCTTTGCACATGCACAATAAGCAATTATGGAGTCTGGATGCTGGGTAAAATTCAGGAGCCTTCTGACTACAAAGTAAAAAAAAAACAACAAACAAAGACTCCAGAGAGTGTTCCAATACAATGAACATACTTTGGAAGCACCTGACCGATTCCTTCCCATTCATCTTCTCCCGGGTTTGACAGCTGGCAGCTCTGTGGGTGTGTAAGCCCTGCTGCCCGCTGAGCCTCTGCCAGCCACTGGTTTTCCTTCAGCTCCAGAATTGTTTTCTGCTGTTTCTGAAGTTTCTTCTTCTGCTTTTCAATCAGCTGCTGCTGGAAGATATGGCGGTTGCAGAAATGACTCATGCAAACAGGTTCTGCTTTCCGGCTGCTGGTTCTGAACTTCTTTTTGTTACCAGGCTGTTGGGAGGGCTCATCACCTGGGCCCTTGTGTGGCTTACTGTCAGATGTATCTGGAGGGGCCTTTTGGAGGGGAACCTGCAAGATGCTCTTTGTTGGTCTTCCTAGGTAGTAGCTGGGCAGAAAACCACTACTCCCCGAGGGAGGCTTTTCCCACAAAGCGGGGACAGCAGCCACCTGAGAGATAAGGAATATGTTGTATCTCATCCATTTAAAGGACTGTGCTGATGAGCTCTATCTCCCCCCAGTCAGCGCCGCTCTGTTCAATGGCACAACTGCCCTGACCCCAGTCACGGCTGCTATGGGCTTCTGCCCGGGTATCTCAGAGGCTGCCAGTCTTAGCCTTGTGAGTCACTCTTAGAATGTGTACTGTTGCTCATCACAGAACCTGGTGGGACAGCGGGTACAATCACAGAAACTATTGCCATGGCCAGGATATTTGTGATCAGAAAAATATGCTCTTAGAAATATCTAATTTGGATAGTTCATTTAGAAATTGGGCATGATTACTCCAGAAATACATCCCAGGAATTTAATCTGCATGAATTGACCCTGAATTTTGCAGGAAATGGGCTTCCCTGGTGGCTCAGATGGTAAAGAATCTGCCTGCAATGCAGGAGATCCAGGTTCGATTCCTGGGTTGGGAAGATCCCCTGGAGAAGGGAATAGCTACCCACTTCAGTATTCTTGCCTGGAGAATTCCATGGACAGAGGAGCCTGGTGGGCTGCGGTCCATGGAGTTGCAAATAATCAGACCCAACTGAGCAACTAACACTTTCACTTTACAAGAAATTGAAAATATTATGGCAAAGTACATATTCTTTCTCAAGAATGTTTGACAACTAAAGAAAAACTTTACAAATCAATAATAGCTCTTTAATAATAACAGCTCTTTAATGACAGTTCTTCCAATGTCTCTCTTGCCACTAATAAATTAATCACAGGGTATTTATCTATTTCAGGATCAAGGCCTGGATTAAACCATACTGTCTCCAGCTATTCCAAAGAATTTATTTGTGGGAAGTGTTTGCAAGCCCACTGGGCAAATACTTACATTATATAAGACTAATGCTACCTAAAATTTTGTATTGGCATATGGCTTAATAGTTTTTAAGGCTCTATCACATAAATCTCATTTAACAGATTAAGGTGTTGTACTCAATTACAAATTCTATACAGATGGGAAAGAAACAGACTCATTAATCAGAAAAAGTTATGCTGGTTAAAATAATGTCACAGTTAAAATGTTTCTTCTAGAGTAGTTTGATTCCATGGTCTAAGGTCTGATCAGATTTTGATTCTGTCATCCACAGTGGTGTTAGGAGAAAAATACTATAAACTATCTTGTATCATAGAAGCTTCTAGCTCCATCAGGGTGCCATACTTGGGAACTCATAGATAATTTTCATGATGATGGAAATATTTTCCATAGACTCAGAGAAAGCGAAAGATGTAATATATGGAAACTCTGAAATGTTAAAATACTTTAAAAATAGCCTTCTATTTCAGAAATGTCAGTGGACATTTATTCATGAGAACACCTGCTTAAGCAATTTAGTGTCAAGCAGGGCATGTGTTTTAGGTCCTTTTAAACTTTGTGGTAATGATGAATTATTAACCCAGCAAGACTATAAAAGCCTTGAGTACAGCAACAAGATTTCTTTTGGATCATAGTAACTTTTAAGGTGAAAATAAGAGAATGAAAGAAAATCTTAATGGTACAGATTGTACTTAACAGAACAGGACTGTTCTGTTTCTCTAATTGAGCCCAGTTAGAGAAAATCTCCTCTATTAGCTAACTGATAATTTCAAAAAATTTCAAGGTATAAGATATGTGTTCATAGTACATATGTCCCTCTGACGGTATAATTACTGAGCATCTAAGTATAGATTTTATATATTCATTTGTTCATGTTACACTGTATACTCTGGGCAAGATCAGAATTTATCTAGTAATCTATAGAGTATATTACAGCCTTTTATTTTCATTTGTTCTACTTTTTACAACTTTATCTTTTCTTGATAAAATCTTTTATCTTTATTTCAGAGATCTGAAGACTTTTTTCTTGAGTCTAAATTATATACACATGTAGCAATTTTTCTGCAGGTAACAAAGGACTTTCTGCTGACTTCTTCCATTTGAAGATAACAGTGGAACTTTGTGATGTAAAAGGCTTCACATAGGTATTTACATAGAAGATTCTCTTGGGTCTCAATGGAAACAAGATTATCTAACTAATATCAAGGCTAAGCTGCCTAGGGGAAGGGACCAAAATGTTACACAAACCCAAAAAAGCACCCTCATGACCCTCCTCTGCAGAGAGAGACTAAGCTTAAGTTAAAACCCGCCTACTTGCTGGCAGTAATCACAATAAAAAGCAAGGCTGGGGATCATGCAGTGCTCAATTTAACTTCACACGTTTGACTTTAGTACTCAACAGCATTGTTTAGAAGGGTGCAGGGGCCAGGTTGGGTGAGGGGGCAGAGGTCCTTTTCCGAAAGTCTTTTCAAACATCCAAATGCAATTGAGAAAGAAAAAACTGATAGGATTGACTTTATAAAAACTTAGAGGATGAACTTATGGTTCATCAGGGAGGAAGGGTTGAGGGAGGGATATATTGAGAGTTTGAGATAAACAAATACACACTGCTATATTTAAATAGACAACCAACAAGGACCTACTGTATAGAACATGGAACTTGGCTCAATATCTTGTAAAACCTAATGGGAAAAGAATTTGAAAAAGAATAGATACATGTATATGTATAGCTTAATCACTTTGCTGTACACCTGAAAATAACACAATATTGTTAATCAATGATACTCCAATATAAAATAAAAATTAAAAAAAATGAGTTCAACAGGTTACCCGACAGATTAATTATTATATACTTAGAACACAGAATTTAAAATAAATGTACAATCGGAAAAAATACTCAAATATGACAAATTAAAAAGTAAAATGAAATTTAACTGTATACAGTACCAAACTCCACAAATAAATCAAGACAAAAAAAAAATGAAAAAAATTGCAAAGTAAATGATAATAAAAGCATCAGTAGTCTTAAAAACATAGAGTTCCTATAAATAACAAAAAGATACATAATCAAGGACAAAAATGGACAAAATCTATGATGAGACAAATCACTATTAACTTTTCTATACTCATTTTCTGGAGAAGGCAATGGCACCCCACCCCAGTGCTATGGCCTAGAAAATCCCATGGACAGAGGAGCCTGGTAGGCTGCAGTCCATGGGGTCACTAAGAGTCGGACAAGACTGAGCGACTTCATTTTCACTTTTCACTTTCATACATTGGAGAAGGAAATGGCAACCCACTCCAGTGTTCTTGCCTGGAGAATCCCAGGGCGGGCGGAGCCTGGTGGGCTGCCGTCTATGGGGTTGCACAGAGTCAGACACGACTGAAGCGACTTAGCAGCAGCAGCATACTCATTATCAGGTACATATATATAAATGGTCAATATAAAAAATGCTTAACCTCACTAGTAATAAAAAATGAAAATGTTGAAGCAACAGTAACATGAAAAATATTTTACCTGTCAACTTGGCAAAAATAAAAAATATGGTATCAAACAGGAAAACAGGTACTTCTTTGAAACAACCTTCCTGGAAGGGCCATTTGGTAAAAGTCTTTAAAATGTGCATTCTATTTTTAGGTATTTATCCAAAGTGAAGGCTTATGGATGCGTGCAAAGACTTAGCTACTTGTTCAGGAAGACTTAGCTACTTATTTGCAAAGGCTTTGTTTATAAAAATGGTAAACTAGAAACAAGTTAAATGCCTAGCAACAGAGAAGAGTCTAGTCTGCGGTTCATGATAGAGTTTCATGCAGTCATTAAACACAATGGCACAGAATGACAGTCCTTAACCAGGGCTTATTCATCAGGTTCACCCATGGAACTTCAAAAAAAAACCATGGTGCCCCACACCCAGAAATTCTGATTTTGTAGGTCTGAGTCTGTGTTATACTCTCAGTTGGAAACTACTGTTGTAGAAGTAGATTAGGTGACACAGAAAACTCTCATTACATTGTGGAAAATAATTTTAGAAAAACAGATCACATTATTATAAATAGAAAAGTATATTCTCACCAAAGTGGGTATAGAAGAACATATCTCAACATAATAAAATTCATTTATGATAAGCCACAGCCAATATAATACTCAATTGTGTAAAGTAGAGAGCCTCCCCACTAAATTCAGGAATAAGACAGGGATGCCCACTCTCACCACTGCTATTCAACATAATATTGGAAAGCCACAGCAATCAACAAGAAAGAGAAATAAAAGGTATTCAAATTGGAAGAGAAGAGGTAAAACTGTCACTGTTTGCAGAAGACATGATTGTCTATTCAGAAAACCATAAAGACTTTGTATATAAACTATTAGAACTAATAAATTAACCCAATAAGGTAACTTCCCTGGTGGTCCAGTGGTTAGGACTCCACACTTCCACTACACAGGGCACAGGTTCCATCTTTGGTCAAGGGATGCACACATCCCTATTGTGCAGTGCAGTAAAAAAAAAAAACGCACACACACACACAAAAAAACCAAGGAATTCAGTAAAGTGGCAAGATATAAGATTAATATATTTAAATCTGCTGCATTTCTTTATACTAACAATGAAATATCAGAAAGAGACAGCAAAAAAAAAAATTCCATTTAAAACTGCATTATGTTGGCACAATACTGAAAATCAATTATACTTCAGTAACACATGAATAAATAAATAAAACTGCATAAAAAAGAGACCAAGAAATAAGCTTAACCAAGGAAGTGAAAGGCCTGAAAACTATATGCTGAAAACTACAAAATACTGATAAAAGAAACTGAAGATGATTCAAAAAAACAGGAAGATATCCCATGCTCTGGAATTGGAAGAATTAATATTATTAAAATGGCCATGCTACCCAAAGCAATCTACAGATTAAATGCAATCCCTATCAAAATATTCATGACATTTTCCACAGAACTATAACAAATAACCCTAAAATTTATATGGAATCATGAAAGAACCAGAATTGCCAAAGCAGTCTTGAGGAAAAAGGATCAAGTTGAAGGCACAGCCCTTCCAGACTTCAGACTACACTACAAAGCTACAGTAATCAAAACAGCATGGTACCAGCACAAAAACAGACAGACATACAGGACAATGCAACAGAATATAGAGCTCAGAAATAAACTTAACACACCTAGAGCAGATTAATCTCTAACCAAGGAGATAAGAGTATACAAAGGAGAAAAGTCTCTTCAGCAAGTGGTATTGGGAAAGCTGGACAGTCTCATGTAAGTCAGTGAAATTAGAATATTTTTTCACACCACATATAAAAATAAACTCAAAATGGTTTAAAGACATAAATATAAGACATGACATCATAAAATTCCAGATGAAACATAGGCAAATTGGACATAAATCATAGCTGCATTATCTTAGATCGGGCTCCCAAAACAAAAGAAATAAAAGCAAAATTGATCCTACTCAAACTAAAAAGCTTTTTACACAGCAAAAGAAAACATCAACAAAACAAAAAGACAGTCTACTAAATGGAAGAAAATATTTGCAAACAATGCAACTGACAAGGGGTTAATATCCAAAATATACAACAGTGCATATACCTCAATATCAAAAAAGCGAACAACCCAATAAAAAGTTGGCAAAAGACTTAAACAGACATTTTTCCAAAGACGACATACAGACAACCAACAGGCACATGAAAGATGCTCAACATCACTAATTATCAGAGAAATGCAAATCAAAGCCACAATGAGGTATCACCTCATACTGGTCAAAGTGGCCATCATCAAAAAGTCCACAAATAATAAATGCTGAAGAGTGTGAAGAAAAGGGAATCCTCATACACTATTGGTGGGAATGTAAACTGGTGCATCCACTGTAGAAAACAGTACAGAGTTTCCTTAAAAAATTAACATAGCAATGCTATTTACAATTGCCAAGACGTGGAAACAACTCAAGTGCCCATCAACAGACAATTGGTTTAAGAAGATGTGATGTATATAAATACAGCAGAAGATTCAGTTCAGTTCAGTTCAGTTTAGTCACTCAGTCATGTCCGACTCTTTGCGACCCCATGAATTGCAGCTCGCCAGGCCTCCCTGTCCATCACAAACACCCGGAGTTTACTCAAACTCATGCCCCTCGAGTCGGTGATGCCATCCAGCCATCTCATCCTCTGTCGTCCCCTTCTCCGCCTGCCCCCAATCCCTCCAAGCATCAGGGTCTTTTCCAATGAGTCGACTCTTCGCATGAGGTGGCCAAAGTATTGGAGTTTCAGCTTCACCATCATTCCTTCCAATGAACACCCAGGACTTATCTCCTTCAGGATGGACTGATTGGATCTCCTTGCACTCCAAGGGACTCTCAAGAGTCTTCTCCAACACCACAGTTCAAAAGCATCAATTTTTTGGCACTCAGCTTTCTTCACAGTCCAACTGTCACATCCATACATGACCACCGGAAAAACCATAGCCTTGACCAGATAGACCTTTGTTGGCAAAGTAATGTCTCTGTTTTTTAACATGCTATCTAGGTTGGTCATAACTTTCCTTCCAAGGAGTAAGTGACTTTTAATTTCATGGCTGCAATCATCATCTGCAGTGATTTTGGAGCCCCCCAAAATAAAGTCTGACACTGTTTCCACTGTCTCCCCATCTATTTCCCATGAGGTGACAAGACCAGCAGAAGATTACTCAGCCATAAATAAGAATGAAATATTGCAATTTGCAGCAACATGGACCTAGATAATATCATACTAACTGAAGTCAGACAGAGAAAGACAAATATTATGTGATATCATTTATGTATAGAGTCTAAAAAACAATACAAATGAATGTATACACAAAACAGAAACAGATTCATAGACAAAGAAAACAAACTTATGGTTACCAAAGAGGAAAGGGGAAGGGAAGAGATAAATTAGGAGTAGGGGATTAACGAATACAAACTACTATGTATAAAAGAGATATCAACAAGGGCACAAGGAACTATATGCAATTATCTTACAGTAACCTATAATGGAAAATAATCTGAAAAATATGTACATATAACTGAATCTTGTGTTATATACCTGACACTAATAAAATACTGTACATCAACTAGGCCTTCCTTTTCCTGTATTATGGCAAATTAGATATCCTCAATGACTTGACTGAAGAAAATTTAAAAGCTAAATAGCATTAAAGAGGAAAATCTGCATATTCTTGAATAGAGAAAAGACCAGGCTATATACTTCAACATGTTATCGGTGTGTTGCATTCTTAGTCATGTCTGATTCTTTATGACCCCACGGATTGTAGCCTGCCAGGCTCCTCTGTCCACGGAATTTTTCAGGCAAGAATATTGGAGTGGGTTGCCAATTCCTCCTCCAGGGGATTCCTGACCCAGGGATCAAACCTGTGTCTCCTGCATCTCACACAATGGCAGGCAGGTTTTTTACCACTAGCGCCACTTGGCAAGTGGTTATCTCTAAATGATGGAATTATTGCCTATTTTTTTTTTCCTATTTTTTACTTTTCCTCTGTGAATCCGTTTCTGTTTTGTATATACATTCTTTTTCCTTTTTGTCGTTTTCTCCTGCCAATTGCTACATTAATACATATGAATTCTTATTAGGAAAATTAAAGCTAAACATTCCCCTCTTATAAATCACAAGCTCATTTACAAAAGAAATGTCTGACAATCAAATAAGAGGTTCAATAATTCTAAACAATGCTTTATACATCTGTTCTTGGATGGAATCTTTCTCTTAGTTGTTTTAAATTCCCTGTCTATATTACATCTCTACCAAACTTCAACTATTCCAAAGTTTATATGTGATTATAAAAGAAGACTCATTTCAAGAAAGTCAACACTGACTGAAAGGCAACTTTTGTGCACTGCAGCAGCTCTCATCTTTTAGATGGCCCAGGCCAGGAAATCTAACAACAGCAAACATAGTCCAGGCTGTGCTGTGCTGTGTTTAGTCACTCAGTCGTGTCCAACTCTTTGCAACCCCATGGACTGTAGCCCGCCAGGCTCCTATGTCCATAGGGATTCTCCAGGCAAAAATACAGGAGTGAGTTGCCATGCCCTCCTCCAGGGGATCTTACCAACCCAGGGATTGAACCTAGTCTCCCACACTACAGGCAGAGACTTTACCACTGAGCTACCAGGAAAGCCCAAGAATCCTGGAGTGGGTAGCCTATCCCTTCTCCAGAGGAACTTCCTGACCTAGGAATTGAACTAGGGTCTCCTGCAATGCAGGTGGACTCCTTACCAACTGAATAGTCCAGGCTATACAAAGACAAAGCTAAATCCCAGTATGTAATAAGCAGGAAGACTAAGCAAAGGGAAAATATCTTACCTCTCCATTTCTAGGTGGATCCTCCATAGCTGTTGCCTCCTCAAGCAGACTGATGCTTGATGACATGTTTGCACTGAGTTTCCCTAGTGATGCTGCCTCCAGCAGCTCATTCATTTTCTTCCTGGTTTCCTCCTTTGTTATGGCCAGTTCTCTCTTTCGGATCTCTATACGATGCCAACGCTGCCATTCTGTAAAATGGTGTTGGAGAACTTGTTTCCGGTTATACTCAGCGGCCAGTTGTTGTTTTCTAAGCAACAAAGCACTTCCATTAAAAAGGAAGCCATTTACTGCTTTTTAGTTGATCATATAAATAAAATACAAGTCCAAAGGAGTTCTAGAAATGCTACATCATAGCTCCAGTTTGTTCTTTTATATAAGCTCAAAGGAGTCATTTTATAAAATTCCCCAGTGCAAAGGTTGTGCTCAAAGAAGGCACTGGCACCTCAAGGCACTGCCTCAGAAGAAAGAGGGACTGTTCCATTCTGTCACACCACAAAGACTTACTAAATTTTTTTATTACCATAACATAGTTTCTGAGAGCTTCTGGAGGGGAAGGAGCAGAAAGAATAGGTATTCGGGTAACTACTTTAAAAAAAAATGAATGCATGAGGGAGATATTCAACTATACTTGCAAATCTAAGGAAGACAGGTTTGGGAGAAAGAGAAAGGGATGAAACTTAACAAGTGAATTGTCAATATTTAGTTAAGTATAAGACATAAAAATCAACATGAACTTATAAGGGTGGACCTTGGGGAAGGACTTGGTCAGGGAAAGGATCTCTGAAGAGAAGGACTCGTTTACCAAAGCCATAAACTGCATGAATGAAGGACTCCCTTGTGCAGACACTTGTTAACACTAGAAGTATATGAAGGGAATACACAAGGCACTTGCTCCCACCGAGCTCACTCACAGTCTAGTAGAGGGTCTGGTTCACTCTCTTCCTAAGGAAGAGCTAGCTCCTTTTGATTTCTGAAAACTTCATGATGTTAGGGGACATGACTGAGTGGAGTTGGGAAATGCCAGCTACATTTCCCTCCAAAGGGGCTCTCAATTTGGAGACATTTTGGTGATAGTCAGGTGACAATTCAAGCATAGAGGTCTCTGAGATCAGTCTATAAGTGGATGATTATTGTCTCCGAAGAAGGGAGCTATAGAGCTTGGAACTTATGTCACAACCAGGGTCCATTTTGAGATTTAAAATCTAATATTGTTTAGATACCTACTTAATTTTACCTTGTAAAATTGACTTGAATAAGTTCTCTACAACATTATTGGCATATCCACTTCTGTTAAACATATATAACACTTAACCCTCCTCATGGACTTTTTGGGGTCATAAAAAAAGTCTTAATGTTTTAAGCAAATGAGTCAGAAGAACATTTCTACAGTTCTTAAATGCTTAAAGTGACTTTTAAACCTTTTATGATTGACACCTACACTAAGAAAAATGTGTTACACCATGATTTCAATATAAGCTTATGTGTGTATGAAACAAAGTATATATAATTGAAACAAAAGTTTCCTCAAAGGATATTTACCCTTACTACCAGAGATACTCTAATGTTTCTTTTCTAATCTATTCTATTTTTTAAAAAACATAACTTGTCTAGAAGCGGATTTTAGGAACCATTAATGAGTTAAAACCCTTAGTTTGAAAGACTACTTGAGAGTCACAGAATTTAACATATGTCAGAGGAGTTGGGTGAAATAACCAATTAGTGAGAGTAGTGTTGATTGAAATAATAGAATTTAGGATAAATGCTAACAGCAATTCTGCCAACAGCATATTTCATTATATATAATTGTTTCTTTCTAATGCAATGATAGATAAAAAATACTTGGTGATTGACTGATGGTTTTTATAGTAAAAATACAATAAGGTAATAAACATTTATATATAATATTTTACTTTGATAGAAAAAAAGAAAGGATCTGAGACTGAATGACCTTGAAATAAAAATTAAAAAAAAAAAAGACTAACAAATTGGGTAGCAATGCAGGTAAGAACAAAGCTCAAAAAATTTCAATGTCTAAATAATAAAACAAACAAAACACCCTATGGCATTTTACTCAAGTGAGTGGAAATCATAAATTTCCACAGACTAGAAGACGTATGTGCTCTGTCTAATTAATGTAAAATTTGATTTACATCAATCTGGGCATGAAGGAGAAGTTTGAAGTTTACCTGATATGTTAATTTCATGTTTTTATAGCATAAACAGCTAAAAGCTGCACTGGACTCTTGACTGTCAAGGAGAGGGGTCATTTGGATAGTATGAAAAGGCAAAGAGAAAAATACTTCTGGAAATATAACAAAAGACTAAAGAGTTAAAAAAAAGGGGGGGGTTGAAAATGCATGTTTATTACAGTGTTTAGAGCTTTCCCTATAGTGATAATGCAGGGATTTGAGGATGTACTTGGGTTTGTAGGAATGGTAGGAACACAGAAGCTAGGGGTCCAGAGACAAGGCTGGTTCTGCTTTTGCTCCCTTGTGGTTTCCTTCAGCAGAGTGACACTTCTGCTGAAGTCCATTTTTATACTTTTAAAATGATGATACTAAAGGCATAAATATTTCTGAAACTGAAAAATCACTTAAATTTCTTAAAAGCTCAGTCAGATGTGATTTACTTGGGCATGCTAACCCAAAGAAATGGTTCCACAGTTCCCAAATACACATAAAATGAAGAAGTCCTTTATGGATCCTGTCCCAATATGTTTCCAAGGTGAAATCAGGGAATTTCTGACAAGAGTATATAAATTGATCATTATAATTATATAACAAATGCAAAGAAAGGCTGTCTCTAAAGAACTAAGTATATAAAATGTAATAGGTCCAAATAGAAATTTAAATATGAACCAGGCTGCTCAGAATCAACACCTCAAATGCTACATAGCTGTTGATCTAAAACACAGTAGTCAGAAGAACACTAACTAGATAGGGGACCCTGGGCAAGCAACTGAAAGTTGCTGAACTTTGCAACTAAAAGTTGCAACTGAAAGTGTCTCAGATTCCTCTTCAAAACTGGTATCACTCTAACAACAACAAGCCCTATACTGCCCATTGCACAGGAGTCTGTTTTTAAAGATGTAATTAAATTTTAAAAAGAACCTGAAAATATAGAACAAATGCATGTGTAAGGTAATAGCACTATCTAAGGACAAGACTATTAGATATCTAAAAAGTGAGTGTCTTGAATTTTTTAAAAGGAAGTAAGAGATGATAAATAAATAACCATATGCTAGTGATCCGATAAAGAGTGCTGAAATCTGATGCAGAACACAAAAATAGCAATGATGCAAACAGCTACATTTGGGATGAGCGGGTTCAGCAGGAATAGGAATACATGAGCTAATGCATTCCGAAATGCATCAGGTAGCCCCCTCCAGGGAAAACATGGAAGATAACACAGTTCTGCTTTAAAGAGATTTAAAGTGAGCCAGCCAGGGCAAGTCTGGCTGGTCCTCCTGCCTCTCTGGCAGACATACTAGGAACTTTACCAGCTTCGGATGCTACACAATTTCTAGTCTCTCAAATGGATACTGAGATGAGCATGGAGGGAAGGGCAATGGGCCATGATTAACAGAGATGCTTCATAAATGACTGCCCTATGCTACTGCTGCTGCTGCTGCTGCTAAGTCGCTTCAGTCATGTCTCTGTGCGACCCCATAGATGGAAGCCCACCAGGCTCCCCCATCCCTGGGATTCTCCAGGCAAGAATACTGGAGTGGGTTGCCGTTTCCTTCTCCAGATTGCCCTATAGAATGTGAAATCAGGAGTGTCAGAAATGGGGAATACCTGACAGTCTCTTGTCAGTTCTGCCTCCCCACCCCTAGCTAGCCTGGCGGGTTCACCCCAGCCTGTTCCCACACAAGTTGAGCGTGTACTGGCTTATCAGTTTTCCCCTAAACTGAAAAATGCTCTCTTCTACTTAGTCATGATCTCTCTCAATAGATGGGACCCAAGAGTTCTTATTTTTAAAAAGCTGCTTGGGGGATTGTAATGGATGATAGCCAAGTCTATGTCACTCCTAAGTTTTTTTTATCTTATCGTGCCTTCTGTTGCAATTATTTTTAGCATTTGGGTAAATTTTTAACTTCCCCACTTAGATTGAAAACTCCTAAAAGGCAAGAATGTTCAATGCTCTTTTTAGTTCCTCTACTTAAGAAAAAGTCTAGTATACAGTAAGCATCAGTAAAGCTGACCAAGTGAATGAATACATGCTAGCAGACAGAACAAATGAATGAGTGAATGAATAAATGTCATGGTTTGAAGGACGACAAAGGGCCTGCCACTGTACTCCTCAATCCCCATCACTGACATTTTGGGCACTGTTTCCAGACACTGCCTATTAAAGTGTAAGATTCCTAGGAGGGATAACATCAAATTGAGGAGTACAGAGGGGCTAGAGGGACACAGGGAAGAAGTGAAAGCCTGGTCCAGGAAAGGCCCAAAGCACCTGTTCAAGAGAAGGCAGGGTTGAGGATACTGTGGAGATTAGTAAGGGAAGGACAGAGATGCTTCCCAGGAAAGAACTGAGGAGTCAGGAAGGTAGGCTCAGGAAGGGTGGGGAGAAGATGTTGAAAACAAGCCCTGCTTCTTCCGTGTGTCTGGGCTGGCTGTAAATGGAAGGAATATGGTGGAGAGGAGGAATAGAAGATCTGGAGCCAACTTTCAAAAGTGAATATGCTAAAGAAATTAAGTCCAATACCATCACGGCCAAGGGTCTAACTTAGCATTGTGAGCCACCATTTCGTTGTATTACCTGAGTGACTAAATCACTAGTTAAGAGTTTGGGAATATCTGTCAATGTTCCAATTGTATTACAATATTGTACTGACATTCTATATACACCAAAACTACTTTTAAAAGAAAAAAGATAGACAAAAATTCCTATTAGGGAATTTCTAAGAAAATTCAGAAAATAAACCTTTAGAAAAAGGTGTATCTTTCAGGAGAAATACATGGATGAGTGAGACTCTGAGCACAGGCTCAGTAAGAAAAGAAGGTGGCTAAATCAGGAATGAGAAGAGATGGATTTGTTGTTGCTCCAGAGAGAAAGTGGGAAGAACAGAAAGGAAAGAAGGCAGAGAAAGAAGCCCCAAATGCTGGGCCCAGCAAGGGGGACAGGCCAGTAAGAGGAAAGCCCAAGTGGCAAAAACAAATGTGGATTCAAGAGCTGGAGCCTAAGGACACAGTTGACATCTGAGAAACAGATACAACACATGATTTTCATGTCCAGGTGAATGGGCTGAAGAACCAATGATGTCCTGTCAATCTGGTAAGAGTTTAATTTCTATAATAAGTAACCCATGTACAATAAATGAGCTCTATCCTTTGATCTCACTATTTAGGAAAAAAATGCTTGAAAATGTATGGAGTTAAATTACAAAAGAGGAAGCAACCAAGTTCTTCATTCATCCATTGACTCACCTATTATTCATCAATTATGTGTTTAGTGTTCACAGAGAAACTGGGAGAAGCTCTGATGAGCACGGCAAAGGGGATCCTGGCTCTCCTGACACCCTTAGTCCCACTGACACGTCTTGGTTTCTGCTTGTAGTAGTTACCTTTGAGCTTTTTTCTTCACCTCTAATATCCCAACCTTCTTTGCACAAAATCACCCAAAAATTTCCCAAAACAATCTCTAGAATGAAGAACAACATGCAGAGAGCCAGGGATTTGTAGGAAAGCAACATGAAGGACAGTGTGGCTCCTTTTCTGTGTTTCTAGCTTGACTTGTTATTTGTTAATTACTGCTCTTGTTTCACATCTACAACCATCTAGAGTCAACAGCAATATACCTGAAAAACATGACTGAGGGAGCCATCACCTAGATTTTCTTTAGGTAGAAGCAGCATAGTATAGGAAAAAGCATCTGACTCAGCATCAAAAGGACCAGGCTCTAGTCTTGGATGGGCTACTTGAAGCTTTATGACCTTGACAGAATTGTTCATCCTTTCTGTGCCTTACTTTTGTAATCTGTAAAATGAGGGGCTGGATCAGATACTCCTTGAAGTATCTTCCTACTCTAAGAGTTTCTTGCTCTAAAAGTTTATAGTAAAAAAAAAAAAAAAAAAATATATATATATATATATATATATATATATATTATAAGTTAAATATTTTCAAACTCTGACAGTTAAAAAAAATGCAGTATCCATTTTGAGCATTTAAAAATAGACACTTGAAAAAAAATAAATAAAAATAGACACTTGAAAATAATTCACAGATATGAGACAAGGAGTTCTAAGATCTTTAAAAAAAATTGGCACATAATGCTATTATGAAATGTCCATTTAGTGCTTTTATATTTAAATAGCTTAATTGGAATGGAATCTCAAGTTCTTCAGATTTGTCTTCTAGAGGTTTCTTCTGGCATGTAAATTTCATAGACCACTCTGAACTTTAACATCTTAGTTTCCACTCCTGTTATGCCCTCACTCAGGATGTTTCCCCTTTGCAACACCTCTAATTTCCTTCCCTTTTTTATCCAACAAATCTACCCAATTCTTTGGTCAATCACTGGGTCCTCAAAATTTAGAAGTTAATTTTAAAATGCTCCTCCCCCATACTGAAGATATTCCCTCAGCATACTGTAGGAAAGGAAAATTGTCTAAGTCACCATCCTGCTTAAAAACCTTCAGGAATTCACCTTTATTTACCAAAGAATGCCTAAACTCCTTGACTTACCATTTAAGGCCTTTCACAGGTTGATGAACTTGACAACCACATACTTGATGATTTCCAGCCACATTTCATGCCATCATCTCACTCTCTACTTCTACCTAGGAACATCCCACTAACTGCATGCAGAATCCAACTTAAGACCCATCTTCTTGATAAAGCCCTTCCTGATATTCTGTAGGAGCCTCCTCAATTACTTCCCTCTAGTAGGTTCTCAACAGCCAAAGGAGATACATTACAAAGTATATAATGCTAGTCCACACCTGTATTATTTCTAGATTTCATCTTCCCCACAAAACTGAGTTCTTAGAGGACAAGGGCATGTGTCAGGCTCCTACATACCCACCCCAAGGCCTGATGCTGTCACGGGGATGCACAACTCCAGCAATGATACTCCCTTCTATCAATACATGATGATGCTTTCACAAACCATTCATCCAATTTTCCACCCAGAATGAACAACAGAATCACTGATTGAGAAGTGATTAAACCTAAGACCATGAATGGCTCCCTCCAGCTTTCCTCACCAATAAACAAATGGTTCTTTCCACATCTATGATTTTGGTTTAAGAATGCAAAGTTGAGCTTGGAAATCAAAAGAAGAAAATATATTTAAAGTTGATAGAGCAAAAGAAAGTTTTCTTTGTGGACAAATTCGGTGTCATTCACAAGTCTAAGAGGGAACTGATATAAAGGTGTCAAAAACCTCTAAATAAGGTGTGGGGAAGTGGGAGAAATCATTCTTGCACGTTTGCCCTCCCAAGTGGATATTCGTTCCCTATGTCCGTAATTAACATTCTATGTGAGAACAGTGATTTCTATCAATGAAAATTACTAGCACATAAGCTAAAATCTGTCTCCTAAATTGTAAGATGGTCCAGGGTACAATGCTACTATGTCAAAGGACAAGGGAAAAAGCATAATACTAGCTTCCTTTAAAAAAAGAAAAGCATGTACATTCGTATATTTTAATCCAAATTTTTTTGCTTATAATGTTCAGTTAAAATTTCCCAGTTTGGGATATAACAGAGAAAAACAGTGATATATTTTAAATGTAAATGAGATGATTACAGTGAACAGCATTTTTAGAGCTTATTTTTGGGTTCTTCAGGAGAAAAGATGTCTTACATAAACATAGAAACATAGATATATGTCTTGCATATACATTTTCATGGCATATAATTCATGGTATTAATACAAATAATAGTACCTGTTTTCTTCTCTAAGGTAATTTTCTATGGCTTGAGTCTCCCGCCCCAACTTCTGGGATCTCGTGTAGTCTCTCCAGGCCCGCAGGACCTTCAGTTGCAACTTCCAGTCGGACAGGGTCCCAGCTTTTCCCAGCTTAATTCTATGATCAAGAATCAGCTTGTGCCAGGCAGAGAAATACCGTTTTTGACACTGCAATGGAAACATTGGAAAATCAGTGCTAGGGTTTCTAATATCTACTGATGGGAAGCCTCTCCTCAGATATCCCCCTCACACTTTTTCTAACAAATCTAGGAACTTGATGGAAGGGGAACAGACAATTGCTTTATGCCAATAATGATGAGAAACATTCAAGTCTTGCAGCTAAGGCACTATCAGCCTCATGACTTAAGCTATTACTAAAATATTTAACTCTCATTGTAAGGCACCAGTCCTACGTAGAGCTGGAGTAGCTGTCACAACTAAGATCTAAGTTAAGAGGCCTATTTGGGAGACTTGAAAGGTATGCTTCCAACAGATCTCCTGTGCCACACTGTCTTGGGGCTTAAATGCCAACTGGGAACACCACTGATATCCTACACAAATGAACACAGGAGATCCCATAGCATGGAATGCAGTTTCTGGTGCCTCAGAACAAGACAGCTAAAAATGGCTTCAGCTGAGCTACCACTGACCATGTCGGGATTTTGGTGAGCACTCCAAGAGAAACTAGATACCCAGGCTGCTTGCAATCTTCCACTACATGTATCTGACAACAAATCAGACAAGGTCTACTGACCCTAAGGATGTCCCCAGAGGAGTACTTATGGTCCCAGGCTAAGACCTACATCTTCTACTTTCACATTTTATGCTCCCACTCCATCAAATTACTTTTAGTTCTTGGCCTTATACCAACCACACTGTTTTTACACTTTCCCACTTACGGTCATATTAATCTCTCTGTCCTTTTATGCTCTCTCTTTGCCTGATGACTTCAGGGGTCACCTCTCTCAGGAAGCCCTCCTATTACCAATCACTCTCCCCACATGTAAGTACTCTTCCCCTGGGTTGCCAGGGCAACCTATGCTTTCTTCAGTCAAAGCAGTCCTCATACTATATTATAGTCACCTGATACCAGTCTTCACAAGACTGTGAGCCTCCAGAGGAGGACCTGGAAGATCTGAGAGTACACCACATGTGCATGCTCAGTTGCTCAGTCAGGTCTGATTCTGTGATGCCATGGACTGTAGCCTGCCAGGCTCCTCTGTTCATGGAGTTCTCCAGGTAAGAATACTGGAGAACTGTACCCACTGGAGTGGGTAGCCATGCCCTTCTCCAGAGGATCTTCCCAACTCAAGGATCAAACCCAGGTCTCCTGCATTGGAGGTGAATTCTTTACTGTCTGAGCCCCCAGGGAAGCCCCCGTACCACATGTGGGGGGCACTACATAGAAAGTAACTGCATAGAAAGTGACTCTGGGAGGTCCAAGAGATGCCTAGCGACCAGTATTGAGAACTTGGTGGCCATACCAGGGTTGGCCCCGTTTATTGCCTCTTTCTCTTTAAAAATACTTATCCTTCACTGTTTCAACATTTAGTAAGCACCAACTGTGTTTGAATTTTGGGATTCTGAACAAGTTTTTGAAAGATATAATCTCTGCATTTGTGAGGTTATAAGCAGAGACACTATATAACTTAACGACCAATAACATAGGTGAGCATAGGCTGGAATTCCTAGAATAGCTCATTTGGCCTGAAATGTTTTCCATAAAAGAAACCAATTATATTCTCATTTAGACAAACTACAAAATCTTCTTTTTTATAATTTTCCATTAGGAGAAACCACGAAAGTCTTTAAAAAAGTCCTTGTTCAAATTAGAAATGAAAATGGAGAGATCACAACAGACAACACTGAAATACAAAGGATCATAAGAGACTACTACCAGCAGCTCTATGCCAATAAAATGGACAACTTGGAAGAAATGGACAA